GCCCTTAATGAAATACCATCAACAGACCCACACCTCCCAATCCATTTTCCATGCTACAGGCCTACAGGTTTTCTAAGCAAGCTATTTGAGGGCATATCACCAAGAGTAATATAAAACCTACTGTAGGGTGTTCAGTAACTGAAGAACTTCTTATCAGATTTTACATTATAGAATTTTATGCTTGAGAATGTCTTTGAAATAGAATTATACACAGATGCTTGAAATAGTCCCTATGTTTATCTTATAAGCTGTCTAGGAGGCAAACATCATACAGTCTTGTACAGTTTATAAAATAAAATCTGTGTTTATTTGCTGTGAACAACACATGCTTATCATCTAACTTCAAATATGGTTAATCTAACGTCGTTTTAACCAAACAGAAAGAAGAGTATATATGATTTACATTGAAGACTATTCAATAGTAGTAGTTCTGAGAAAGACAGTTGTGTACCAAAGTTTCAATTTATTATGCAATGCATGTCAGTCAACTGACCTACCATTTTCTTTGCAGCTTGCTCTAGTTTACAAGTTCTATGCCAGCAGCTGTCACCATCGAAGGTCTAGATTCATTATCTGATTTGTTTCAGCCACCCCTGACCTTACAGATTTTGTTAATAACAGACATAAATGAGTTTTAAATTACTTAGTTGTTCAGAATTATAGGAAAGATAGAAGACCTACACAGAAAAAAGGCTCTACATTGCCTTAAACCTTCCTGTCTGTTTTCCATTTATTCCATCCAAAGTGTGTATGTTACTGAAGCTCGCATCAAGTGTGAGCCACAGCTACCTACCATTCTACCACACGCTCACACCAAAGCTGAAGTGTTGATGGGCACTGGGTAAACACACCCTGGATTAATGAAGGGATGAAGGAAAGAAAGAAGGAAGGAAGGATCGAATAGACACTACAACAAGACCCTTGGCCTGGCAGAGATGTTATGGGCTCCTAATTGACAGACTTTCCAGTTTCTCTATAATTGGGCTATCTTGAAATTTACTAATTGGTCAGTGTGGAAAAAAGTGGAAGCCCAGAAAGTTTAAAAACACTGATGGTCAATTCTTTGAGTGTCCAAGGCCTAATAAATAATATAATCTTCTCCGATGCTGTCCCCTCATTGCAGGATATAGTCTAGATCTTTATCTCTTATTTATCCACATTTACTTTGTCAATATCAGAGTAAATCTGTTTTACAAAGTGTATCAGTTCAAGGTAGTAGTAGTGAGGTTTGATTACAATAAATATCAAAAATGAAAAGAAGTATTTTGAGAAACACAGCTAGACCATGTCAGTCTTACTGAAACTGTGGCAGATACTTATCATATGAGGATAATATATGCTATTGCTGCTCAGCATCAGTTACATTAGATGATGCTAATTTGATTCCATGATATTCACTATTTCAGTCTATACTTCTCCATGTAAGGCTTCCTGAGCCTAGTAAATCTCTTTACTGAGTACATCTAGTATCCTAGAATATCTTAAAATACTATATCATAACAAACCACATTAAATTTCCTATAGGAATATAGGAATATATATAATGTTCAACATAGTGTTATGAAATAATACACTAAAATAACCAAGCTATATAATTGGAACAAAATCAGCAGGTCGTCCTTCTTCTTCTTCTTCTTCTTCTTCTTCTTCTTCTTCTTCTTCTTCTTCTTCCTCCTCCTCCTCCTCCTCCTCCTCTTCCTCCTTCTTCTTAAAGACCCTTCTTTTGTTCTCATAGTCAATAAACTTTCTAATGGTATAGATCTTTGGAGGAGACTGTCCCACAAAGCCATGATTTTAAAGCATATAGAAGGTTTATCATAGCCACTTAAACATAATTTGATCTCTGATTTCTGTGCTTATAATCTAGCACCAAATACCCAAATATCAAAAGGATGCTATTAACGTGAGTTCTGCACACAAACTGATTCCTTGCAAAATTTCAAAATTAATCCAAACACATTTATTTTTTTAAGATCATTTTACACATAGGCATCATTCAGAAGCTTACATGGGACAAATTGTGTGCACACACAACTAAACAGCTGGGTGAAGAGACTCAGCAGACCTTCAGTCTCTTGATTGGGATTTCTCCTGCTGTTCCTGATAGTAAGATCAGGCTAGGAATGGCTTTCATGCTCCTCAGGGGTACTATCTTGCTTAGGGTGTTCACGGATCACACATTCATTCTGACTGATCACCAAGGATAATGTGGGCTGTGCTTATTCTGGAATATTCCACAGGCTGCTAGAGGGCAGTTGAGACACTAGCTAAACTTCTAACCGATGCTTTGTAAGCAGAGTCAGCTTGGTCTAGTAGACTTCTTTTCAAGGTTGTCAGCAACTTAAAAAAAAGTTCTGTTTTTTTAAAAAGAGTTCTTCCTTTTCCTTATGATCTTGGTGAGAATTTTAAGTTCTGCTCTTATAAAAAGCTACCTGTTTAACTTGTTGAAGATGTTGCTAAGAAATTAATCTTGAATAGATTCCCGATTTTCTTTTAAGACTGAAGGAAAACAGCCCCACCACAGCCACGGGCCTTCAGAAGTGGATGGAATTCCTTTGTGGTTTTCACTTGATCACTTAAAACACCTTTCTTCTGACACAATCCAGACACCAAGTGAATTCTAAGTACTTATTCTTCTCAATTAAGTCTTGACATTGCAAAGACCATGGGAACCAGCACCGAGCTGACTCTTTTGCTGACAGCCAACGGCACATCACAGTTAAGATTTTAGATGAGTCCATAATAATTAAAGGAAAACATCATGAAAGCTCTAAGCAGTCCATGTAGCATAAACAGCAGATACAACTGGACATATGAGAACTGTAGGTTCTGATTAATAGATACCAGGGTACATGAGAGAGAAGGGCTTCAGGCAATCAGTAGAGGAAAAGCTTTTACCCAACAGTGTTTGACAGTCTACTCACTGTCTTACTGATTTTGCTGCTGCCTTTGTGGATGTTGTAATGCATCTGTACAGATAATGGAATTCGCACTTTGACTACTTCATCTAACAAATGTGTGGCTAATAGTGCACATACAGGTAAGTATTTACTTTGCTCTACTGGTCTACATTGGTGGGGAATTCTTAATGACACAGCAAAAAAGAACAAAAAAGAAAACCCAGAAGAGTTATCTAAGGGAGCATGGAGACTGATCAAAGGAGAGAGGAGGAAGCATTTGAAATGAAGCTAGCCAGAACTACCCCTAATTCTGTGCATCACTGAATCTAACCAACACACGGAGGAGCTCATATTTTAGCTTTTAAAAATCAGCTGATTTTGTTTAAGGTATTAAATTTCACATTAAACTGGCAGCGAACAACCAGGTATATTGAAAGTATAAAGATTTGTTTTATGTTAGGACAGCCAATGAGCACCAAGGGGGAAGACAATTAAGGAGTAACTATTAGGGACTGTGAGATGGCTCAGCGGGTAAAGGCACTGCCACCAAACCTGAGTTCATTCCCGGAAGTCACATGGTGCAAGAACACGCTCATGTTTTCCTTTGAGTGCCTTGGCACAAATACACCCACAAAACAACACATAAATATATTTAAAAAGTAAATATTGTTCTTACAAATAAAATCCACACACCTACGTCCATCCACTGTTCAGACTGACTAAAGGCAGTACTAGCAACTAAGGCAGTTTCAACCCAAAAGTACAAATGATCTGTATTTCAAGGAACTCTAGGATCTTTAGTCTAATTTTAAATCTGAAACTCTGTTTTCAATTCCTCATGGATAAGATTAATTTTTACAAGCATGATTCTGGTATCTGGGTAACTTTTTTTTGGGCCACAATTAATCTAAATCTTACATTGCAGGACATATTTATTTCTATATTTCACTTATTCATATCTTAAAAATCTCAGCGAAGAACTGTGTCACTGTATTTTCATATAGAAGTAACCTAAGTCCTAAAGACGTATCCCTCAGTGCAAATAGTTTAGCAAACAGACTTTCGCTTACTCACTCTGAAATGGGTTCTGAGACTTTTTTTAGTTGACTTCTTGTTTGATCTACCTTCTGCTTTTAACTTCAGAAACATTTTCTCTGGTCTTCTTAAACAAAACGGTGAGCTAGCCACGGGGGTGGGGTGGGGGTGGTGTTTCATCGGCAGAGCTGCGGGTCTGTAATTCAGTCCACTAGAGCAAAGACTGGTGTTCCTAAATCCCACCTCTGCCTCCACCACCAAATCTTGTGAACTGTCAGGAGGCCCTCCTGGAGCACCCTGCTTAGAGGCTTGCATAAATGATGAGGGCCCTCTGAGGATGACAAATTCAGTTGCTATTTTCAACTCTCCACTTGTCACTCTGTAATTGCAGTAAATGCAACTGAAAGTACTTTTACTTGAAGGCCATTAGACAGAGGGGAAGAAAACGCATTTACTGTTTCAAGGCTTGTGTATTTTCCTGGGAAAAGCCTGCCTATAAAATCTGTCCTTTTATCCTTAGAGAGCTATTTGGGAAACATCTTTGAGCAGGGCCTTGATGCAGAACCTCTTTCCTGCATCCTCCTCATCTTCTCTCTAACTTCTGACCCCTCCTGTACTTGGAGCTTTCTTTTCTCCAGGATGAGACGGGAAATGTGCGTGTGTTACTGAAAACAGTGAGCTCTTTGCATTCTGGAAATTTGAGGAATTATTTTGCAAAGTCTTCTCGCGGTTACTTTAGTACAAATAAAAATAATATCATGAGTGTTTTTTCTGATTAAAAATTCTTTGACACTTGTTCCTATTGAAACTTAATAAAATAAGCTGATGGAATACTGCTTGCTGGTTTGCATATCTTTATGGAGAACTTACTTGAAAAATATAAGGAAATCCTATTTTGGAGGACTTGACAAAAGGGAAAAAAGGCAAAATAATATTTTAAAGTTGCTAAAACGCTGCTTCAGTCTCTATAAGTCATCACAGTTTGTCAATCTACAGAAACATCGAGAATCACGATCGCTTTCCGGTCTCAGGTCTTGGTTACCGGACCTGTTGAATGCCTCTTACCTATGAAGAGATTCCACTCAGTGTCCAAATCCGCCTGGTTGGCCAGACAGCCCTTCATGACGTTGAGGCAGTAGTTGTTGCAAGGTCTCACAGTGGGCAAGCCTCGGCAGTAGGGGCAGTACAACATCTTCATGAGAGCCCGGATGCACCCAGGGGTGGGGCTCACCTGTAAGTACATAAGACAGGGGGCGAAAATCAGAATCGGAAAGATGAAGGCGAACAGAACAAGAAGTCATGTTTCCCTAAATAGCATGATGAAAAACAGGCAAAGTTGCTCTGCTAAACCTTAAACCTCCAAGCAGAGGGTTGAAGAACGGTTAGAAGCTGAGCCCTTTTTAATTCTTCATTCGAGAGGCAGCCAGTTCCTATTAAATACCTCTGCTCAGCAAAGTAATAACTTCCTGAGATGTTCCCGTCCACATTTTGCTCTTTCTCACTGTCACTGCAATTCAATCCTAAAACAGACACCGTTTCCTTGTAGGAGAATGTGAAGCGAGATCATGCATAGCTGGCAACTGGAAGAGGAAAGAGCCCGGTAAAGATGGAGCGGCTATTAAAGTTTAATGTGACACCTCTAGCGAAGTTTCCGACTGGTTACTTGATCCTTTGCTAGCTGAGGTTGGCGGATATCCTTCCGGAGTACACAACTACTGTAGAGGCTCACTATCCCCTTGGCTGGGATCTATGTGACCTGGGCCTGCATAGAAGTAGAAGCAGTGGACCTGCTGAGGCAATTCTTCAGGCATCTGGGGATACAGGACTCTAGAAAGTTCACTTAAAATGGATCCGGCTTGGTTTGCAAGAAGGAATTTTTTCAGGGATTCAGAGTCAACCACTAACCCACTGACAATGTAGTGCTGTTTGTCTGGAACAAGGAACGCAGTGCGTCAAATCAATCCCCAAGCAGTAAACTCGGGGTGCAAAGAGGATAAGAACTCAAAGAACGGGAGAAAGGCAGCAAGAGCCTTCCTCATGAGAAGACACTGCTCTCAGAACTTCCAGCAGCTGCTCTGCATAAGAAAGAGCTTCTGAACAGCCACACTTCCAGGAGCCAGGGCCCCCAACCTAGGGGCTGCTTACTCCTGATAGGTGAGAGAAGGAGTCACTGTTCTCAGCTGTGTTCCCACGGGGCCCACAGCACGTCCCAACCCAATGCTTGTGGGAGTGGCCATTATCAAACTAAATGTGTCACCAACATAAAAATCAGATGTCTTAAATGTGAGAAAGAGAGTGGTAAGGATAAGGGGTGGCGGCATTAGGGGTAGGAGCAATGTGGGAGTGGATGTGTTCATGGGGTTGGAGTGACCAGAATACTATATGTATATGTAAAACGCATGTGTGTGTAATCATCAACAAAATTAATCAACAAAAAGAAAAAAATGTATGATGATAAGACACCATTAACACAGAACTCCGTTGACTCCAAGAGGAAAAGAATATTTAAGACAGCACAAGCTAACAGCAGAGAGCTGCTTTCCACGTCTCAGTGGGAAATTACTGGGCTGCCTCTTTGGTGGCATTCATGGTGGCACTGGTGTTTTAGTCAAGTATTTGGCTAAATGCTACTCTGCTTGTATTTTAGACATAAGAAAAAGCCTAGTGAGCCATTCGGACCTCCTGAGAGTGTGGTCTCACCGGCAGGCATGACTAGGGATGTCCCCCATTGCAGTAGAGTGGTGTGAGATATCACTAGGGATGTCCCCATTGCAGTAGTGTGGTGTGAGGCATGGCTAGGCATGTCCCCCATTGTAGTAGTGTGGTGTGATATGACTGGGATATCAGGAAAATACTTATTTCCATACTTTCATTTACCACTGCCATTCTGAGACGGTTGATCTGGTTGTTTGTTTGTTTGTTTGTTTTCCTAGAAACCAAACTTAGGGATTGTTAATACAAAGCTTTAGTTTCTCCAACCACTTGATAACAAATTGCATAAGAAGAAAGAATTTTTGGTATATTCTTGTGTCAGTTATTTTCTCATTGCTGTTGAAGAAATAATTAACTAAATCAACCGTCTTAGTTAGGTTTTCTACTGCTGCAATGAAACACCAGAACCAAAAGGCAACTTGGGGAGGAAACAGTTTATTTCACTCACAGATCCATAAAACAGTTCATTACCAAAAGCACTGAGCACAGGAACTCACAAGGGCAGGAATCTGGAGGCAGGAGCCGACACAGAGAAGCGCTGCTTACTGGCTTTCTCTTTGTAATTTGCTCAGCTGCTTCCTTACAGAACCCGGGAGCATCAGCCCGGGGATGGCGCTACCTACCATCAACCACTAATTAAAACAAAAAAGCCTTACAGATAGGTCCTATGGAAGTATTTTCTCAATTGAGCGGCTTTCCTTTCAGATAGCTTTAACTTGTGTCAAGTTGACATAAAACTAGTCAGCATACATGTCTCCATGACTTTCAATTCTTCCTTTTAGTAAAAGCTATTTTGGGGGTCTATACCCTAACCATGATGTTTTCTCATTAAGGAAAGATGCCAGATACTTTGTTCACAACCTCACAGTTTTGAGAAATTATTCAGAATATCCAACTCTTTCTTGGTCGTCCTCCTTTGTGTCTGTAGAGTCCACAAATGACACTATTAAGTGAGATGACAAGCCCTCAGAGTCTTCAGGAGCAGATGACTTAGATAAAGGAGACAGTCTCCAACCTGGGCTCACCTAGATTATGTTAAGAACATAATCTAGTCTCTACCCAGAAACAGCTCCAGGGGAAGTCTAGAAGGAGTAAACAGGCTTTGGCAGTGATGCTTCTGGATGTTTTCTAAGAAATTCCAAAAGCCAAAATGCTCATTTAATTTGGTTATTTTGCTTCACAAATTATGCTTTTAAAGAACCAATCTATTTTTGAAATAGAATGATGTTTAAAAAAAAATATGCTTTTTACTGTCAGTACGTGGCAACCTAGAGATTTGTCCACTAGCACGGTTGCCCTTCGCCTTCTTTGTCAATTTAGCCCAAGTTACACAGAAGCTTTTTATTACAGAGTTGACAGGACTAACTGCTTTCATCTTTCATCCATCTATTGGTTGAGCGTATTGAATCAAATGTTGCAGCTCTTAATGTCCTGCACAAAGTTGTACATTCGTTAGCCCCTGACTTAGGGTCTGGATCTTCGCCAAACGTTAAGCTTTACCTCGCCCTCTCAGATAGACTGTCTTCTCAGGTATTCTAACTGCTGCACCGCCCGTTGTCCTCTTGTCAGCCTTGAAGCAGTTACAGAAGAGATCAGTGCCCCCAAATCCCTAAAAGCAGCTCAGGTAACCCCTGGAAAGGGGACAAATGGCCCATGGGCTGTCTAGCGCACCCCTCTTCTTGCCTCTATGGACATTGTTTTGGGGACCCAGAAATAAAACAGTTATACTGTAGCCTTCTCTGCGTCAATTAGTGTTTCTGTCTCACCCGCTCAGATCAACGTAAATGAGGAGTAGCTCGACCCCTGGGCCGCTACGGTACTCTAAGAGTAAACAGGAGTAGATTTAACAGCTGGTAAGGACGGGATCTGAGCCCTCCTCTGTGAACACCATGGCTTCCACGCCAACAATCCTAACTGGTTTGAAATGGAGTCCAAAGATAGTGACCAGAAATTATTCAACCACCAGCCTCCGTCTATGTATGGCCTTCTGGTCTGCCACTTTCCCCCTCCCCCCCTCCCCACCCCCTCCCGCCCTCGTACTCTGGCTCCTCCCCTGGATCATTCCTTTCTTCTTATACTCATGCATATGTATGTTTTTACCCTTGCTTTTACATGATTAACTTAACTGGACTCCACCCTATACCAAAACAAAATGTTCCACATGAGATTTTCCAAAATGTTTCATTCTATGACATCTCCATCTGCTCCTGACACATCTACAAAAGTACCCTTCCGTTGCTGTGGGGAAACTCTGGCTAACAGGAACTTCATCCTTTCACCCCAGTTCTTGTCATTCGTCCTCTCTTTGCTCCCGTTCTCTTCCTTTGAAGCTCTGTGGTTCCATGCTACCTCGGTTGTTTTGGTGTAAACAGTCCTGACAGTAGAACCAGTCCTTCACACTGAATCGACTCTTACCGGCCCACTTGGTGCTTCCCGCCTCTTCTCTAAGCCTCGCACAGCAGTCCCAGAAAACCTTTTAGTTCTACTCTATAACGAAATCTTGTTTACAGCCCTGGAATAATCATTTTCCAAATCTCTTCAGGAATGCGGGATGGCAATCTCCTGATCCATCTCAGCAGATCAGGTCAAGACTCTCCTCCTGGTACACGATCAGAGGAGTCACTCTTTACTGACACAGAACTACCTACTCTCTCCCACAAGGATCCCCCCTCAGCAGAAAACAGCTTTAATGTCCCTGCCCTGCATTTTTATACTTCTCACAGTTAGGAATGGTAGTTTCCTGATGAAGGACTACACTTCCCAGGTTCCCTTGCAGACTACAAGAGTCACTTCCGCCCTTATAAGGGGCAGCATCCCATCTTCTTCTGTATACATCTTGGCCATCCACACATGCGAGGGACAAGAAGTTCCTCGCTGTGAATAAAAATGGTCCACCTAAGACACACCAAGCCTCTCTTTCTGTGTTCCATCTCTCTACAATAACTCTCCTAAATAATCTGTGTGAGTTAAATTTTCTTACGTTCACCTTTCCGTAATCTCTTCATATTTTCACACAGCAATATAGTTCTGATTGTTACTTTTTCCTGCTATTACAATGAGTTGAATAAAACCACCATCACAATCAACCGTAGCAATCAGTGTGTTAACAACTCTGAGTCAGAGAGTGAGTAAAAAAACATCAGGGGTAAAAGAGAGCAGCTTCCACGGCAGTGATCCTACACCGGAAGATTTCCACTGTAAAGAGAAAGTGGACATAGAAAATGGAACAGCGTGACTCTGTTGAGGATGTGCCACCATAGCATCGTCTCTAGGTTGGCTCCTTCATTGAGAATTGCAAATTAAGCAGAATGTCTTTAAAAATAGTCTGTGTCAACAAGTATTACAGAGATAGTGACCGAGGAAGAGCGAGGCCCAATGAGAGCAAGAAGCCAAAGCAATTCTGCTACAAGACTATGTTAACGTGGACCATAAAATCCGTAGGCCTGGCTGTCTCTCACATCCTTTGCTTAAGGATTTTGCTAGCACACTTTGCTTTGCACAGCTTTCTTTCTTCCTCTG